CAATGTAGCAAATAAAAAGTTTTTATAAATTAGAATTATGATAGCTGAAAATAGTCGATAGGATTGGAAGACAAAGGAAATATCCCAGGACTCCAAAAAAAAGAGCCAGAAAAATGGGAAAGGATAATTGATAATCAATTTAGTGCCATATGACCAATAATATTTCCAGAAAAGTAGAGGAAGAAATCCTAAATTTAAGAAAGGAAGGGAGGGAGGGAGGGAGGGATGAAGGAAGGAAAGAATTCCTACAATGGAAAAAGGTGCAACTTTGTGTTGAAAAGGTCCAATGAATGAAGACACAACAAGGCACACCTCTTTCAAATTTAAAAATACCAGGGATAAATGGAAAATTCTAATATCTACTACAAAGAGAGGGAAAAAAATCAGAAAAGAATGATACTGGTCTTAACAACAACACTGGAAGCTGGAGGACAATGACAGTACCTTCAAAATTCTGAAAGAAACGTTTTCAACTTAACTATATCCAGCCCAATTATAAATCAAAAGTGAGGACAGACCAATATATCTTCAGATATCTGGAATCACACAAAAAAATGACCACTTTGGGCAACTTCTCAGGAAACTTCTGAAGGATATACTTCATCAAAGTAAAAGTAAAGCAAGAAAAACGTTAAGTTCTAATAAGACAGAAAAGCAAAGGAAATTCCTAGAATGATAGATAGCAAGGACAAGTCCAGAACAGCTGTGTGGCGGGCACAGAGGAAAAACAGGTCCAATTTGGAGCAGGATGGAATACTGAGAGGGCGGGTAGGAAGGATAAATCATCTGATAGTCGTGATGTGTGTAAACTGTACAGAGAGCTTTTGGATGGCACAAAATGACTTAGCCAAATGTACAAAGAAAACTAAGGCAATGAGATATGATTATTTACTCTAGGGGGGAAAAAGCTGTAGAAAAAAGGGAAACATAATTACAGCACATTGTGGCTCAGTAGTAACAAAACTTTATAGTCACAAAAATGAAAAGATAGAGTGTGGATTAAGCCAAAATATTATACTGGGATAACAAATATAATGTTATATGTTGATTTATATCTCAATTCTTAAAAAAAAAAATTACAGTGTTTAAAATTTCCACATACGTATATTATCCAGAAATGTGGAAGTATATGCTGGGAAAAAAGTTAAGAGATTAAAGAGATCTGACGAACACACATCATTTTCAGACTTTAGCATTATGTAACTTTTAAAAAAGAATATGTATGTGTTACTTCAATATAAACTTTTTATGTTTGAAAAACAAAACAAAAAATTGAACAAAAGCTTTTGTAATGAGGATACAACAGCGAATAAGACAAAGTTCATGCCTCAAGAAGTTTATTTCTATTGAAACAGACAACAAGTAAACAAATAAACTTATCATATGATTACAGGTAGTGATAAACGTTACTCAGAAAAACAAAGGGTTAAAACATAGCGACTGAATGTTGGGGAGGTAAGAGTGGTCAGGGGAGGAAAGGGCTCTCTGCGGAGTGACATTTGATCAGAAGTCTGAACCATTTGAAGGTATGAATAAAGTGGGTTCTGGAAAACAGGGAGCAGACAGTGGTAAGTTTAAGTTTGGTGTGTTTGAAACTAGCAAAAAGAACAGAATTAAGAGCAGAATACTAACAGGAGACATCAGATGTAAGCCATCAGAAGTGAAGAACAATAACGATGACATACAAATTGGATATCAGTGCTCAAAATGATACCATGAAATTCACCAATGAGAAAGAAATGATGAGATAATGAAATTAAGTTAAAATGTCATTGTTTTTGGTTCTGAAAATGAACTACAATTAAAATCATATTCCATTCATTCTTAAGTCTGGATAAAACAAGAAATAACTGACAGAAAAAGAACAAGGTCTATGAAAGTTTAAAAAGAAGTTTAAAAAAAAGGAACGCTCAACTTCTGAGGTGAATCTAAAGATAGATATACACGTATGTATTTTATATAGGCATAACCTCATTTTATTGCACTTCGCAGATATTTCGTTTTATACAAATTGAAGGTTTGTGGCAACCCTGCGCTATCAGATGATAGTTAGCAATTTTTAGCAATAAAGTATTTTTAAATTAAGATATGTACATTGTTTTTTAGACATAATGCTATTGCACATTTAATAGACTGCAGTATAGCCTAAACATAACGTTTATATGCACTGGGAAACCAAAAGAAATTGTGTGACTTGTTTTATTGCAATATTCGCTTTATTTTGGTAGTCTGGAACCGAACCCACAATATCTCTGAGGTATGCCTGTACAACACACATAAACAAACACAAAGATATATACAATAATGTCTAAAAAGATAATCAGATTTGAAATTATTTCCTTCAATTGATAAGTGCATTGAAGTAATCAGTCTTCTAGCTTAAAATCAAGCAATACAAAATCACAGAGACTAAGAACGTAGTTTGTAACAGCTTTATTTAGAGGATACATGCTTTTAGTATACTTATTCCCAGAAAGGTATCAAATTTATAAGAAGATGCTTGGTGCTCTAAAATACTACAGGGAAAAATGTTGGAAGAAAGATAAGGGAAAGGAGTATTTAAGGTAATATAAGCCGTAGTCAACTCTGCCTGTACATTTGAGTCATCTTAGCATTGATGCCCACGGCGCTCCACCCCATTCTGATTTAACTGCTCTGAGGTGGGGCATTGGGCATACTATGCGACCAAGACTGAGTGATTAGATGTGTCACTCTAATCACTGGATTAGATGTGTCACACTGGTAAAAATGGAAAATGCTGAGATTGTCAGGTGATACATATAGAAAGTAAAAATACAGGACTAGTATCAATCTGATCACATTATTCCCCTGCTTTAAAACAACATACATGACCAAACTCTAATGGCTCGGCTCCCATGGCTTGCAGTTCAACATCTTAGTCTACACACAAGGCCCTCTGTGATCTGGTTCTCCTAGCTACCTCTCCAACCTCATCTCCTCTAACTCCCCCACAGGCAAACTAAAATACAGCCAAACTAAACTATTTTCAGCTTCCCTCAATGCACCAAACTATTTCATTCCTCTCCCATTTGCGTATTAGTCCTTCTGCCTAGAATAACATAGCATGCCTTGTAAACACCTACTTATCGCTAAAGTCCAAGTATACCTTTTTTTGTAAAGTCTTCCAGGAATCACCTGAGAAAAAATTAATCACTTCCTTCTTGTTGACCATCACCATGCTTTTATACATACCTGTGAAATAATTTACCATGCTACATCTTTTTTTTCCCCAATCTGTATCATTTACTGATTCTTGAGTACTTTGAGAGCAAGTTATATGTAACTTTTCTGTATTTTAACCTTTGCGTCTCTTAGGCCTAACTCTGATGACTGGGTTATGGCCTATGACTAAATGTTAGTTGCATGAATAAATGGGAATAAAATGACAGAATAACCACTATGTAGTTCTAAATTTTCAATAAGGAAGTTAAAGGGAAAGAAAAATTCTAAACAGTACTGGGGATTTAAGAGGACTAAACAATTGTGACTACAAAAGTAGCCCATGAATGTCTTTCATCATCTGCCGAATTTTCCCTCTACATCCTTCATTCCCTTCTAGTCTGATTAAGAAAGCCTAAAAAAAACACCAAAAACAAAAAGATACACAACAGTAATAAAACAGAGAGGAGAGAAAAGGGAATGGGACAAGTTACACAGGGAGAACCAACGACTTTGGTAATGTTTTATTTCTTAAACTATGGGAAAAGATAAGCAGGTGATTATTAATCTTTATACTTTTAAACATGTCTTAAAAAGCTGCTTTACATAGTAAATTCATGTAACAAGGATTAGAAAATATAAACTACTGAAAAAAATGTATTAAATTTATGGATAATATCTATATGGAAAAAATGTATGGAGTTAAATTCTGGCCACTTTGAAATCACTTGATAAGTGCTATCTGCAGTAATTTCGTTTATACACACACATGTATATGCGTATACGTGTATATGCGTATGCATATATCTATCTTTATTAACTTGTAACCTTGAAAAAGGCTATTTTAGTATTCTTATCGACCTACGGAACAAGTGACTAAAACCATTTCATTCTGTTCATAACTTCTTAAATCCAAAGAAAAAATACCGCATTAGCAGTAACAAATTGGTATCATCATAAAACACTGGCTTTTATTACGCCCGGGTATTAAATGCAAAATGAAACTATTTGAGTTTTAAAACTGGTTTCAGTTACTGAGAAAACACTCTGTTAAAAGAATGCCTAAAACTTTACCTATTCCCGGCCCTTTTTATCTGGGTATTTTCTCTCTTCAGAAGCCATCACATCTCATTCACTCTGACTCAGAACAGGTTTTACAACTTCTTGGCCCTTTGGACTTGCAACTTTTAGACGTCTCAGAACCAGTTCTAGACTAATTACGGATACGCAATAGCCTACATAGAACCAAAAGCATTTCGTTTTCCAACATCGAAGAAAGGAATGAAGGGTTTAAGACGAAGATTTCCAGAAACTGGTGTATCTCAATAGGACAACTCATTCCCGAGTCCTGGAAAGCAGGCGAAATCAGAGAGAACGTGAAGGCGCACTGGCTTAAAGAGCAGGGCGCAAAACAAAGCATCATTAGTAATTAAAAAAAAAAAAAAGTTGATTGCTTTCTGGGTGGACACTTATCCTGGGGCAAGACTTAGGATGCTTAATAGAGATGGAAAAGGCCCTCCAAGTGCCTCCGGGTATCATTAGGTGCTTTCCGCTTTCCTTCTCTAAAATCCCCAAATTCTTGGTTTGGATCCAGGGACACCAAATGCCCCCTCTTCTGACATTCCATTTCTCCCAACCATCACGTTGCACCTTCTTCCAGCCTAAAATAGTGAGTTTCTACCCACCTCCTCGACTAAGTCACTTCTCTGAGTCTCAGAACGTTTGTGTCCACCTAGAAACCTGTCTCCCCTCGGCTGTCCCCTTTGGCGGCTAGACCTCTGCCTCGGATTCGAGCCGTTGCGCAGCTCCATCCTTCTCACCTTGGTTACAGAAGAGGCTCCACAGTTTAGCGAAGATCAGCCCCATCATGAGCACCTGGGCGGGCCACGGGGTTCCCTCAGCAGCAGGTGCCGCTGCGCCGGGCCCCCCACCGCGGCGCTGGCCGTGGGGAACCAAGGAGAAGCAGACTGGGACCACGCGGCGACAGCACTGGTTGGCGGAGAAGCCGCGATCGGCCGCTCAGCTACCCGTCAGAAAACGCCGTGCCAAGTCCCTGCCCGAGAGTCCTTTGTTCGAGTCCACTGAGCCCAACGCCGACCCGTAGTCCCTTCGGTCTGAACCCACCTACCCACCAGAGCCTCAACCAGCCTCAAGCCCCGCCTCCGCTCCGCCTCCCCTCCGGATCCCAGGACCACCCATCTCCGGAAGGACGGGGCCGGAAGTCGGAGCGCTTACGTCAGCCCAGTTCTTCGAAATGGCGTTTCCTCAGTTTTACTTCCGGTGGGTGAGTTCCGAGCTGCCAGAGGGGTGGAAGGTGGGGGTGTGCGTGGGAATCGCGGAGTTTCCCAGGGTGAGCATCTCGTCCTCCTGTTTAGAAGCGGTTGCTGGTTCCCATTCTTGAGTTTCTGCTGTCTAGCAGGTGCATCCCTGGCCCGTAAACCTGGAGACAGACTGCAGTTACTCTGAGTAGCCGCCGTTTGGTGCACGGAAGTGGGGGGTGTTTTTTTCTCAACTCTCACCCAGTTCAGGCTGGCGAGCAGGCTTGGGGTTCTGCCGTGATTCTTAGTTCTGGATAGAATTGATTGCGAGACGATCCATGGAATGCCAGTAGCCACAGTTCAGCTATGTGATTAACTTAAGGTCCCCCAATTTTGCTGTTTTCGGTATTTTCTTGGATTCCTCAGTCCACAAAATAAGAAAACGTATTTTGTGAAGTGTTGATTGGAAATAACTTCCTTTAATTAAAATGGAGTCCTAGGAATCGCTCTTTCCAGTTCAACAAAATAGAAGAAAAAGCTACAAAGTGCAAAACAAACTGAAATTTCAACGAAAAAATTTGAACAACTAGGGAATTTAAAAATACATATATATAATATTCTTTAGTAAGAACTATTGTACACTAATTTCAGAAAATTCTTGGAATAACTGGCTGCACCTGGAATTGAATTCAATTTATTACTCAGTTAACTAAGAAGTCTGCATATATATAAGACAATTTGCTACGTAATAGTTTCGTTTCCATTTTCTCTTCCGTGGTTAGGGTTTAACAAACTTAAAAGCTTCACAGACTAGGATGGAACCTAACAAATTCCCCTGAAACCAGTTGAAGGAGAGATATTAATTGAAAAGACTATGGACGTAAGTCAAGTGGTAGATTTGAACCCTGGCAGCGTGGCCTTTTAACACCCCAATATCGTTACCTGTACAAGTAAAAGTGTATGACTTATGATGTCCTCCCAGTGTTACGGTTCAAAGACCCTTTAAGACTTATACGCAAGGTAGTGTGCTTCAACATTCTGATACTAAACATTCTGATACTAAAGGCAAGTATGTACTAAGCCTATGAAAATTAACATTCACGGCCATGAATTGGCCCATATATTTATGGGCCAATTATATGTATTATATATATAAGTTTATATTTAATGATTTTGTGTTTGTGTAAATAGAGGCTCAAAGGGACATTTCTAGTCCTAGTTTCAAGAAAAAAAAAGTCAAACAACTAGGGAATGAAAAAATTTAAAAAACTACGTATATCTAATATTCCTCAGAAGGAACTATTACAAACTATAGATAAAACTTCGAAGAACTGGCTACAGCTGGAATTGAATTCAATTTATTACTCAATTAACTAAGAACATTGCTAAGAACATTGCGTGCACGCATGGAATGTTCACTGTGTCTTTAGAATTCTCCATGAGTCTTTTCATGTTTCTGATTATCTTCTGATACCTTTTTGTTCTGGACTATCTTTTCAAGGATATTTGTATAGCAAATAGTTTTGAGAAATTTAGCATCTCTCTCTGGGGCAGAGGACGGATTTATTGGCTGATAATGATAATAAAGACAATGTCTCCCACCGGAAAAAGGATGAGAAGGTTTGCTAGCAGCATTTTCAGAAAAGATTAAGGATAGGGTGGAGGGAGGCTCGTGGGTGGGGCCGTGAGCTGAGTGGGTTTGGTCACTCTACCCCATGGCTCATGGGAAGGTGTGAGACTAGGGCCAAAAATCGGCCCCAACAGGGCTCTCCTTGAGCTTCAGGGAGGTGAGTTCCCAGAGGGGAGGGGGGGGGGAAAGATCAGAGTTTGCTAAACAGGGCTCCTCTCAAGGAACCCAGCTCACTGAGTCTACAGGCATCAGCTGGCCACTGTTGCTTTGCTCTACAGGAGTCAGGGCTTCGGGAACCAGCACAAATGTTGTTACTCTGGCTGCTGCTATTGCTGTGATTAATAAACTGTTCTTTGTCTCTGGCCCAGGAGTCTCATATCTTCTGCCAGTGTCTATGATACTGTGGTAGGCTGACTTGTTTTCTAACAAATAAGGAAAACTGTAGACCCTTCACAGTTCTTGACAGTTTCAGTGACGAAGATGGAATACTGACACAACATGGCTTCCTGGAACAGGAAATACAAGAGCCTCTCCACAGTCCATTTAGTTCACTTAACATGATTTGAGGGAAGTCCTTGGATTTAATAACAGCCATATTGTTCAATCCAGCAATAAATAATCCTCCACTCCATTCTCTGTCACTGAGGAGGAATTAGGGAGATGGCTGCAGGCTGAGTACTGGGAGGCAGGTTCATGACTTGATTCTTGTTATCTCTTCTTGGGGTGAGGGCTAGAGGGTCGATCTGATGGTCAGCCTCACACCCATCCTATGATAACAACCAATGCTAAGATCCACCGTGGGTTAGAGGAAAGTTCTGATCCTTTTCATACAACAATTACAGAGACACTCACCAATGCTAAATGCAAAAAGAGGGAAATTTATGTCTGCTGTGGGCAGAAATCTTGCAAATCTATAGAACTTTGGCTGGGTAGCTTGGGAGATAAGGGGAAGGCACACATATTTGTTAAGGAGGGATGGGAATAGCTTGGCCCTCTTACAGCTCAACTTCTTCTGAATTCTATCAAGCCAATCTTATATCCTTTCAGAGATGACAGTAAAAAGTCAGAGTTTTCTTGAAGTGGGTTTTGACCGTAAAGGCACTCTCTGGCCCTCTTAGTGAAAGTTCCTGAGATAGAGAAAAGCACGTGGGAAATCACAGGTGAAGCACTGTGTAGCATTTGGGCACTTATTGCCCTGCGTTGCATCTATACTCTCCCCTGTACTGGCCCCCACAGGCTGAAAGATGGGGACATAATGGGTCTTTATAAGTTTTATGAAAATACTCTTGTCCCTCTTGCTCCTGACTGATTCTTCCAGATGAAAAGTTTGGGTGAAAGTAAAGTATCATTGGAAAGAAATATCAATAGTTTTAGTTCCTGGAATGGGACACATTTATTTTGTGGCAATGGAAGGATAGAAAAAACAAGCACCTGGGGAGGGAGCACCTTAAACACTGGGAAGTACAGGGAAATGCAGGGACATTAATATTCTTTTGTCTTTTAGAACAGCTCCAAGACTCTTCCTCACAGAGGAAAATGCCTTAGTGCAACTCTCCCAAACTATTGCAAGATCCTTGAATTTAACTGACTCCTGGGTTGCTATCTGATACACAGCTTTGATTGCAGTTTGATTGCTGTTCTCTTAATCGTACTTCTCTGTATTGGAAATAGCAGCAAATGGCCCCAGCTTCTTCACCTCCCATGTGTATCTTTAAAATTCCATTTTAGCTCCTTTTTATTTTTGAGTCACTGGCTACAACTCTTTTCTGTTTTATTTTATGGTTCACTTTAGGTTTTAGAGTATACAGCTTTAACTTATTACACGTATTAGTTTCTTATGACTTCTGTTACAAATTATTACTTGGTGGCTTAAAACAAATATATTCTCTCATGAAATGTGAAATATTTCATTGAGCTAAAGTCAAAGTGTTGGCAGGGTTACACTCCCTCCAGAAGCTCTAGAAGGGAATTTGCTTCTTTCCTCTTCCAGTTCCTGGTGGCTGCTGACATTCCTTGACTTATGACCATGTCACTCCCATCTTTTGCCTCCCTGGTAATACTGCATTCCCTTTTTCTATGTCAAATCTCCCTCTGCCTCTTTCTTTTTTTCTGGCTGTGCCACACAGGATCTTAGTTCCCTGAACAGGGATCAAACCTGTGCCCCCTACAGTGGAAGCGTGGAGTCTTAACCACTGGACCGCCAGGGAAGTCCCCCTCTGCCTCTTTCTTATAAGGACACTTGTGACGCCCAGATTATCTCAGATAATCTCCTCATATCAAAATCCTTAATCACATGTGCTGAGTCTTTGCCATAAAAGGTACTGAATGTTCACAGGCTCTAGAGTTTAAGACTTTTATCTTTGGGGGCCATTATCCAGCCTACATCACAGACTGCTTTCAAGTGGTATTATAACAGTTCACATATAGAATAAGAACTTTACAATGTTATATTTCCATTTCTCCCAATTGGCTTTTGTGCTATTATTGTTATACATTTTACTTTCACTTATGTTCTAAATCCTTCATCACATTGTTACTGATTTTTCTTTAAACAATTACCTTTGAGGATTTAAATAAGAAAAATATCTTTATGTATAATCACATAGTTTCCATTTTTAGTGCTCTTCAATTCTTTGACAGATCTAGATTTGCAACTGGTATCATTCTCCTTCTGGTTGAAAGACTTCCTTCAATATTTATTTAGTGCAGGTATGCTGTTGATTAATTCTTTCAGCTTTTGCGTGTCTGACAGATTCTCTGTTTCACCTCGTTTTCTGAAAGATAATTATTCTGGCTAAAGAATTCTAGATTAACCATTTTTTTCTTTCAGTACTTTAATAATGTTGCGCTGTCGTCTCCAGTATTGCATTTTAAAAATTTTGAGGGAATTTCCTTGCAGTCCAGTGGTTAGGACTCTGTGCTCTCACTGCTAGGGCTTGGGTCCAATCCCTGGTCTGGGAACTAAGATCGCATAAGACGTGGGGAAAGGCCAAAAAAGTAAATAAATAAAGTTTTGAAACATTTATATATTGTAACATAATTGCCACTGTGGCAATATTTAGCACCTCTATCATGTTATATAATCGTAATATTATTGTCTGTATTCATTATACTGTGCATTAGATCTCTATGGCTTATCTACTACTAAGTTTGTACCCTTAAACAACATCAAACTATTCCCCTATCCTCTGGTAACCATGATTTTACTGTTTCTTTAAAAGTTTGACTTTTTTAGATTCTATATGTAAATGATACCATACAATACTTGTCTTTGTCTATCTGGCTTATCTCACTTAGCATAACGTTGTCCTGTACTGTTTCAGAAAAAAACTCTGTGGTCATCTTTGTCTTTGTTACTTTATTTTTGTAATGTGCCTTTTTATCCTTACGGTTTATTTAAAGATTTTCTTTTTTTCACTGCTTTTAAGCAATTTGATTATGATGTGTCATGCTTCCTGTGCTTGGTGTTCACTGAGCCTCTCAGATCTGTGGAGTTATACATTTCATCATACTTAGAAAAATAGTTAGGAACCCACATGCATGTATATTATGTCATTTGAAGTTGTTCTATGGCTCACAGAAATCCTGAATTTTTTTTCCCCCCACAGAATCTTTTCTGTATCTTTCTTTCTGGGTGGTCTCTCTTTACTATTAGGTTCATGAATCTTTTCTTCTGTGATTGCTAACTTACTGTTTCTCTTAGCCAGTGCATTTTTTCTTCTCAGACATTTTCATTTCTGGAACGTTGATTTGAGTTCTGTCATATCTTCTATGTCTCCACTTAACATGTTCAATCTTTCCTCTAGATTCTTGAATATATGGAATACAGTTGTAGTAATTTTTTTGTCCTGTCTACCAATGCTATCATCTGTCATGACTGGGGTCATTTTGACTGATTGATTTTTATCCCATTACATTAGTATATTGTATTTTCCTCTTTCTTTGCATGATTTGCAACTTTTTATTTTTTTGGTTGTGCTGCACAGCATGTGGGATCTTACTTCCCAGACCAGGGATCGAACCTGTGTCCCCTGCAGTGGAAGTGCAGAGTCCTAACCACTGGACTGCCAGGGAATTCCCCTGCAACTTTTTTTTTTTTTTTTTTTTTTAATTTTTGCTGTGTTGGGTCTTCGTTTCTGTGCGAGGGCTTTCTCTAGTTGTGGCAAGCGGGGTCCACTCCATCGCGGTGCACTGGCCTCTCACTATTGCGGCCTCTCTTGTTGCGGAGCACAGGCTCCAGACGTGCAGGCTCAGTAGTTGTGGCTCACGGGCCTAGTTGCTCTGCAGCATGTGGGATCTTCCCAGACCAGGGCTCGAACCCTTGTCCCCTGCATTAGCAGGCAGATTCTCAACCACTGCGCCACCAGGGAAGCCCCCCCTGCAACTTTTGATTGGATACTTGACAGTGTGATTTTTACCTTGTTGGGTGCTGGATGTTTTGATATGCGTATAAATATTCTTGAGCTCTGTTCTGGGTCTCAGTCAAGTTATTGGAAATGTTTGATTCTTTCAGGTATTACTTTGAAGATTCATTTGTCAGGTCCAGAGAAGTGTTTAGTGTAAGACTAGTTTTGACCACCTCCTGTGGCAAAATCCTTGTGAGTACTTAGGGAGTACCCATAAATTATAAAGCTTTTCACTCTAGCTGGTGAGAATATAAAATATTTCCAGCTCTTTGTGAGCTGTGAGTATTGTACCCTTTGATGCTTTTAGGTGGCTCTTTCCCTAGCCTAGCATGTGTGTGCCCATACATGCATACGGTGACATTAATCCGCTGTGGACTTGAAGGGGGTCCCTCTGAGAATTTATGGAGCTCTCCCCCTCTTTTTCAATCTCTTAGTATTCCCTCCTCTTAACTTGAATTTCCTTGGCCTTACTGGACATCTTTTCTTCAACTCAGGGAGACTTCTGGGGTCTCCCTGGGTTCCCCCCTCTTTGCATTATGATTTGGAAACTCCTCTCTTCAGAAAGTAAGTTTAGGAAATCACAGGGCTCATCTTGTTTGTTTCCTGTTACCCAGGGATCACTGTCATTAATTGCCTGATAGCCAATATCTTGAAATTCATTGTTTCTTATATTTTGTCTGATTTTTTAGTTGGTGAGCTAGGAGGATAAACCCAGTCCCTGTTACACCATTTTGGTTGGAAGCAGAAATCTTCCTATTATCCCTTGAAGAATAATGTGAGTGGTACATGTTCATGGTACAACATGGTATTTAACATATGTACCTGAATCACTTTGTTGTACACCAGAAATTAACACATTGTAAATCAACTATAGTTCGACAACAACAAAATATTTAATAGTCTAAAAAAAAAAAAAATAGGACTCCACAACACCTCGCAGTGAAACATTTAGACGGTGTCAGAGGAGGGCCTGGGGCTCAGGCTTTGTCGGTGTAGTCCAAGCTCTTATAGCACTAAACGGGACGTTATTTCTCGAGGCCAAAAGCCTGTAAGCATCTCCGCGTGTGAGGCGTCTGGAAGTAATCGCATAGGATATCGAGGGCGCGGTGGAGGCGCGCAGCCTCTCGAAGGCCCCGCCGTTGCCGGAAGCCCTCGCCCCTCTCCCCGCGCGCGTGGGATGGGCGGCTCCCGCCCGCGGCGTCTGACGTAGGACGTCGGCGTCGTGACGTGGCGTCAACGGCCGTCCGGCGGCTGGCGTCTTATCCTCGCTGCGGCCGCCCGGGGACGCTGAAGCTCGGCGTTTCCTGGCGGCACAAATGTCCGTTTGTAAAGCAGCAGGGCTGGAGTCTGCAGGATTTGCAGGCTTCCGTCTTGAAGGAAGTCTGGGAGGCTCAGAATTTCCAGCGTTTTCACCGTAGAGCCAGCCTCGCCAGGGCCAAACCACCCAGTAGCCTGACTGCCAGCAGCCTCGGCAGGTATACCGAGTGGTGGGGGACTTACCTCGTCAGCTGTGAGCGTGTTCACAGATTCCCTGACCAAAGCATCCTTGCTTCTCTCTTCATTTCCCCGCCCCCCCTCCCCCCCGCGTGACTGCCTCAGCTGCGGCTGAGCTTCTCGTGTCTTGATGGAGAATTTAAGGACCGTAAACCCTATGCCTCCCACCCCCACAGTTTTGTATAATGTGTCGTTAAAGGACTTGAAATGGATATCAAGCTAATCCTTGAAGGGAAACCAGAAAACGTTTGTCTTCGTGGTGGAAAGTGACTGATAAACTTGGGTAATTTTATGGTGATAGAGTATCCACCTCCTGGCATTGTTAGGAGAGTTAAATGGAGCAAATGTGTAAAATCCTTAAGTATTTTTTTATAAGTGTTCACTGCATGTAACTTTTTTTTTAAGTTTCTGTGAACTTTCATGGATCCATTTATTAGGCCGTTTTCTAGCACCTGGTGAGTGCCCCATCCTTTTCTGTTGGTTTCTTGAAGTAGCCCACATCTCTGCCTTCCTGTCTGCTGCCTTAGGTAAAGTTTCCCTGTTCCTGTCTAAAGTGAGTTGGCCCATTCGTGCCTTAAAACCCATTTCTTCTTGTTTACTCAAGGGTATCATCACAGCAATTCCCTCTCTCCCAGTCATACTTTTTGCTTTCTACTGAATCATTTCCATCAGCAAATTAGTTTCCTAGGGCTGCCGTAACAACGTGCCACAAAACGGGTGGCCTAAAACAATTTATTGTGAGAGAAATTTATTATCTAACAATTCTGGAGTCTAGGAGTCTGAAATCAAGGTGTTGGTAGGGCTGTGCTCCCCCTGAAGGTTTTTCCCAGCTTCTGGTGGGTGCTGGCAATCCTTAACATTGCTTGGTTTGCAGCTGCACCCCTCCAATCTCTGCCCTTGTCATTTCGTGGCCTTCTTCCCTGTACGTCTGTGTACAAGTGTCATCACATGGCTTTCTTATGATGACGCCAGTCATTGGATTTAGGGCCCACCCTATTCCAATATGACCTCATTTTAACTTGATCACATCTGCAAAGACTGTATTTTCAAATACGGTCATATTCCCAGGTACCAGGGGTTAGGACTTGAACATATCTATTTCGGGGACACAGTTCAACCCACAACAATAGGACTAGTCTGTGTGTGGAGCACTGCAGACAACAGAGAGCCAATGCTATTCTGTCTTAATTTTGCCAGTCTATCAGACAATTCCCATGGGAGGAGGCATTGTTCTGAGTCTTAATCAGCTTTGGAAAGAGAGAAGTAGGAGAATGAAAGCTTAATAAGTCCTACCCAGTCTATACTTCCTTATTCTAGCATGACATTGGTGCTGCCCCAGTATTACTCTGCTGATACCCTGGGATCAGCAAATAATAGACTATTACTGTCTATGGAAATAATGGTATATATAAAGGGCCTATATTAGCTCAAGGATGGTGGGGAAAGGTAAAAATAAAATTTTAAAGTTTTCTAAATACGTTCTTTCACTGCTGCCACTGTCTTCTTCCCTCCCTTCAGCTCCTGTCCTGAATGCCCACACATAAATCACACGTCTAGGGGTTTCTCACAGGTTTGTTTTTTTTTTCTTGTTGTTAGGAATGTTTCCCTCTCCATTTTGTAATTTCTCCAGAGTTGATTTTGGGATTCACCATCTTCATGGCAATTGATAGTCTGGCTGTCATTTTTTTTTCTTTTTTAAAATTTTTGTTTTATATTGAAGTATAGTTGATTTACAATGTTGTGTTAGTTTCAGGTGTACACCACAGTGATTCAGTTTTATGTATATATATCTATTCTTTTTCAAATTCTTTTCCCATTTAGGTTATTACAGAATATTGAGTAGAGTTCCCTTTGCTATACAGTAGGTTCTTGTTGGCTATCTCTTTTACTTATTCATTTATTTTGGCTGCACTGGGGCTTAGTTGCCACATGCGGGATCTTCAGTTGTGGCATGCGGACTTCTTAGTTGTGGCATGCGAACTCTTAGTTGTGGCATGCATGTGGGATCTAGTTCCCCCACCAGGGATCGAACCCAGGCCCCCTGCATTAGGAGCACGGAGTCTTACCCACTGGACCACCAGGGAAGTCCCTGGTTATCTATTTTAAATATAGTAGTGTGTATATGTGAATCCCAAAATTTATCTACCCTCCCCCACCCCGGCCCATCTTTCCCCTGTGGTAACCATAAGTTTGTTATTCTAAGTCTAGGAGTCTGTTTCTGTCTTGTAAATAAGTTCATTTGTATCTTTTAAAAAATAATAGTTTCCCCATATAAGCGATATAATATGATATTTGTCTTTCTCTGTCTGACTTGCTTCACTTAGTATGATAATCTCCAGGTCCATTCACGTTGCTGCAAATGGCATTATTTCATTCTTTTTAATCTGCCATCATTTTTAATCTGAAATCTTAATGTTTTATTTACAGGGAGGAATAAAAATTTTTCATCTATAATTCAGAAGCTAAGTAAATAACAAAATGAAGCCAGTAAAGCATCTGTTGGCATCTAGTAGTAAATTGGCAAATGTTCCAGAATTAACATATAAAAAACGAGTATTTAATTCACCATTGTCACCTAAACCAAAGGAAAAACATAGTGCAAAATTAGTACGTGATAAACTTGAACCAGTGGTCTTAAGATCTCCACCAACAGGGGAATCCATCATAAGGTATGCTTTGCCCATTCCATCAAGTAAGACAGAGGAGTTAGTAGCAGAAGATGAATTGATCAGGAAGATTACCAAACATCTGAAGATGGTAAGATACTTGTTGGTGCTTGGGTTGGGGGTCCCCATGACCATCGTCAGGTTTAGTGATTTCCTTTGAGGACTCACTGGACTCAGTATATAGTCATATTGATGGCCAAGATATATTATAGTGAAAGGATTAAAAGCAAAATCAGCAAAAGGAGAAGGCACATGGGGTGAAGTCTCGAGGAAACCAGGTGCAAGTTTCCAAGATTTCTTTCCCTTTAGAGTCACACAGGACTTGCTTAATTCCTTCAACAAGTTGTTACAGCACATGTGAAATACCTACCAGAGGAGTTCACTAGAGATTCAGTGCCCAGGGTTTTATTGGAGGTTGGTCACCTAGGTACTCTCTGCCTAGCATGTACCAAAATTCCAGACTCCCTGAAGGAAAGCATGTGTTCAGCATAAATCATATAGTTGGTACAATGAGTTTAGGGACAGTGAGCCACTGTCATCAGTCAATGAATAGTGGGAACCCTCCTGAAATCCAAGTTCTGAGACACAAGCAGATCTTTCTAAGGGTAGGCTTTTCTCAGTCTCATGCCTGCTCTGTAGCTTTTCTCTGCACTTTAGAAACTCTAGCTGTTAGTGTTGGGGAAAAAATATCTTCCTTTTTTCTGAGTTCCTTGCACAGTGATCCAGAATTGAGTTGTAAATGTACCAAATACCAAGTGAGAACAATGAGGAATAGCACAAATATAGAAAAAAAATATAGTTCATCAAACTTCCAAAATACAAGTTTGTTCAAAGTTCAGGGGGTTAGCTCAGAGAATTTCCTTTAAAAATGTATTGCTTTCTGGTCTCTATCTCCCTATTTTCCCCACTCTCTTCAAAGAGGAAAGCCAAGTTAATTAGATTTTGAGGTAAACTTTGATGGTAAGTAGAGTTGATGCTTCAGCTGTTCATAGACTCTCTTCAACACAGAAGTGGAAGAGTCATAGGGCCTATCTTCATTGCTAGGGAGGGATCAAGGCCTATTGCTCATACTCCTTCTTCAGGATGATATGAGGTGGGGCATGAAGTGGAAAATTTAAGTTTATGGTACTGGTAGAAGTAAGTCTTACTGCTAAAATGGTTCTGACATAGTTGATTAAATATCTTTTTAGATTTAATGTAATATTTTTACCCTATATAAGTACATAATTTGCTTTGATTTTTCTCATAGGTTGTTTCTACTTTGGAAGAAACCTATGGATTTAGCATTCCAAGTGGAGAAGAACCAGTTGTGAAGCCTGAACATGAAGGATTAACCTTTCCTGTGAGTATATGTAATGCTAATGTAGAGACATTAATGCTGAAAAGGGCTAAGATTTTCTTTTAGAGTCTGTATATGTTCTCAGATGAATCCCCCATCCATGAAAATGATCCTCCTAGGAAACTTGAAAGTAGTGTACTGATTTTTCCATTCTCTGCCAACACTTAAAGTTTAATTAAGACATGTCTATATCTTTTTTTTTATTACTAAAGTATTTATTGGATTTCAATTTTAAATTTGTTTTCATGCATTTGTATATGTTCTTAAACATTTTATTTATTATTATTTTTTTTTATTCTTGTTAGTCATCCATTTTATACACATCAGTGTATACATGTCAATCCCAATCTCCCAAATCATCACACCACCGCATATCTATATCTTGAGCCTACTTTTGATGCTAATGCATCTCTTATTTAATATGTAAGCTTGTGGTTGGCTGTTGGTTTGCAATGTATATTCTTTATTATGTTAAGAAAGTATTCTTCTATTTATGGTTTGCTAAATAAAAAACCCCCAACATTGAAGAGATTACTGAGTTTTAGTAAATGTCTGTGTTGTATATATTGAAATGATATAACTATTAAGGTGATTATAGATCACCTTAATAGTTATATCATTTCAATATATACGTGATTATAGATCATCATCAATAGACTGAAGGTGATTATGTGCTTCACCTTCAGTCTATTGATGAGACGAATTATTTTTACATATTTCTTAATAGTCGACTATACTTTAATACACTGTACTCGTTGGTCATTATTCTTCTATTTTATAATTAGTTTTGTTAGTTAGGGATTGAGTTTGGCTTCATGTAATAAAATAGCTATGTTGGGTCTTTCAAACCATAAACATAGTATGTTTCTCCATTTATTTGATTGATTTCATTGTTCTGTTTGATTTCTTTCTTCAGCATTCTGTAATTTTCATCATAAAGATCCTGTATATTGTTTTTCAGATTTATACATTAATATTTCATGTTTTTTGGAATGATTTTTAATGGCATTATATTTTTAATTTCAGTTTCCACCTGTTTGTTATTAGTATATAGAAATATGATTGATTTTCGTGTGTTGATCATACATCTTGCAACCTTGCTCAATGTACTTCTTTATTCTAGGAATCTTTCTGTAGATGTTTTGGGGTTTTATACATAGACAATTATGTCATCTTCAAATAAGGACAGTTTTACTTCTTCTTGTCCAAGCTGAATGTTTTTATTTCCTTGTCTCTCTCTTTCTCTTTTTTTTTTTTTTTTTTGGCTGTGCCGTGCGGCATCTTAATTCCCTGACCAGGGACCGAACCTGTGCCCTCTGTGCCCTCTGCAATGGGAGCATGGATTCTTAACCACTGGATTGCCAGGGAAGTCCCCACATATCTTTTTTTTTTTTTTTTTCCGGTACGTGGGCCTCTCACTGTTGTGGCCTCTCCCGTTGCGGAGCACAGGCTCCGGACGCGCAGGCTCAGCGGCCATGGCTCACGGGCCTAGCTGCTTCGCGGCATATGGGATCTTCCCAGACTGGGGCACAAACCCGTGTCCCCTGCATCAGCAGGCGGACTCTCAACCACTGCACCACCAGGGAAGCCCCCACATATCTTTTTGAATTAGAGTTTTCTCTGGATATATGCCCAGGAGTGGGATTGCCGTATCATATGGTAACTCTAGTTTTAGTTTTTTGAGGAAACTCCATACTGTTCTTCATGGTGGCTGCACCAATTTACATTTCCACCAACAAGGTAGGGGGGTTCCTTTTGCTCCACACCCTCGCCAGCATATATTATCTGTAGACTTTTTAATGATGTCCATTCTGACTAGTGTGAGGTGATATCTCATTATATTTTTGATTTGTGTTTCTCTAATAATTAGCGATATTGAGTATCTTTTCATGTGCCTGTATGTCTTTTTTTCATATGCCTATCTGTATGTCTTCTTTGGAGAAATGTCTATTTAGGTTTTCAGCCCATTTTTTGATTGGGTTGTTTGTTTTTCTGATATTAAGCCACATGAGCTGTTTGTGAATTTTGGAAATTAATCCCTTGTTGGTAGCATCATTTGCAAATATTTTCTCCCAGTCTGTAAGTTTGTTTTGTTGATGGTTTCCTTTGCTGTGTGAAAGCTTTTAAGTTTAATTATGTCCCATTTGTTTAGTTTTGTTTTTGTTTCCTTTACTCTAGGAGAGGGATCCAAAAAAATATTGCTATGTTTTATGTCAGAGTGTGTTCTGCCTATGTTTTCCTCTAGCGTTTTATAATGTCTGCCCTTACATTTAGGTCTTTAATCCATTTTGAGTTTATTTTTGTCTTATGGTGTTAGGGAGTGTTCTAATTTCACCCTTTCACATGTAGCTGTCCAGTTTTCCCAGCACCACTTATTGAAGAGGCTGTCTTTTCTGCATTGTATATTCATTGTATATCCTTTGTTGTAGATTATTTGACCATATGTGCTTGGGTTTATTTCTGGGCTTTCTGTCCTGGTCCATTAATCTATGTGTCTCTTTTTGTGCCAGTACCATACTGTTTTGATTACTGTAGGTTTGTAGTATAGTCTGAAGTCAGGGAGAGTGATTTCTCAAGCTCCATTCTTCTTTCTCAGGATTGTTTTGGCTATTCGGGGTCTTTTGTGTTTCTATACAAATTTTTAAACTTTTTTGCTCTAGTTCTGTGAAGAATGGCATTGGTAATTTGATAGGAATTGCATTGAAAGCATAGATTGCCTTGGGTAGTATGGTCATTTTAACACTATTGAGTCTTCCAATCCAAGAACACAGTATATCTTTCCATCTGTTTGTGTCACCTTCAGTTTCTTTCATTAGCGTCTTACAGTTTTTGGAGAACAGGTCTTTTGTTTCCTTAGGTAGGTTTATTCCTAGGTACTTTATTTTATTTTATTTTTTGATGTGATGGGGTTGTTTCCTTAATTTCTCTTTCTGATCTTTTGTTGTTAGTGTATACAAATGCGACAGATTTCTGTATATTAATTTTGTATCCTGCAACTTTACTGAAGTCATTGATGAGCTTCAGTAGTTTTCTGGTAGTGTCTTTAGGATTTTCTATGTATACTATCATGTCATCTGAAAACAGTGACAGTTTTACTTCTTCTTTTCTAATTTGGATTCCTTTTCTTTTTCTTCTCTGAGTGCTGTGGCTAGGACTTCCAAAACTATGTTGAGTAAAAGTGGTGAGGGTGGGCATTCTCACAGTTGAGTATAATGTTAGCTGTGGGTTGGTCATATATGGCCTTTATTATGTTGAGGGTATGTTCCCTCTATTCTTACTTTCTAAAGAGTTTTTTTTTAAATCATAAATGGATGTTGAATTTTATCAGAAGTTTTTTCTGTATCTATTGAGATGATCATATGGTTTATATTCTTCAATTTGTTAATGTTGTGTATCACATTGATTGATTTGTGGATATTGAAAAATCCTTGCATCCCTGGGATAAATCCCACTTGGTCATATTGTATGAACCTTTTAATGTATTGTTGGAGTAGGTTTGCTCGTATTTTGAGGATTTTTGCACCTATGTTCATCAGTGATGTGGGGCTGTAATTTTCTTTTTTTGTGGTATCTTTGTCTGGTTTTGGTATCAGGGTGATGGTAGCCTCATAGAATGAGTTCAGAAGTCTTCCTTCCTCTCCAGTTTTTTGGAATATTTTCGGAAGGATAGGTGTTAACTCTTCTCTAAATGTTTGGTAGAAGTCACCTGTGAAGTCATCTGGTCCTGGACTTTTGTATTTTGGGAGTTTTTAAGTTACTCTTTCAATTTCAGTTCTGATAATTGGTCTGTTCATATTTTCTCTTTGTTCTTGGTTCAAGAATTTGTCCATATCTTCTGGATTGTCCATTTTATTGGCTTATAGTTGCTTGTAGTAGTTTCATGATCCTTTGTATTTCTGTGGTGTTGGTTGTAACTTTTCCTTTTTCATTTCTGATTTTATTGATTTGGGCCCTCTCCCTTCTTTTCTTGAGTCTGGCTAAAGTTTTATCAATTTTGTTTGTTTTTTCAAAGAATTAGATTTCAGTGGTCTTTTCTATTGATTTTTTAATCTCTATTTCATTTATTTCAGCTCTGATCTTTATGATTTCTTTTCTTCTACTAACTTTTGCTTTTGTTTGTTCTTTATTCTAGTTGCTTTAGGCGTGAGGTTAGGTTGTTTGAGATTTTTCTTGTTTACAGAGGTAAGCTTGTATTGCTGTAAACTTCCCTCTGTAGAACTGCTTTTGCTGCATCCCGTAGGTTTTGGATTATCATGCTTTCATTTTCATTTGTCTCTAGGTATATTTTGATTTCCTCTTTGATTTCTTCATTGAGCCACTGGTTGTTTAGCAGCATATTGTTTAGCATCCATGTGTTTGTGTTTTTTGCAGTTTTTTCTTGTAGTTGATTTTTAGCCTCATAGTGTTGTGGTCGGAAAGGATGCTTGATATTTCAGTTTTCTTATATTTAGCGAGGCTTGCTTTGTGGCCCTGCATGTGATCTATCCTGGATAATGTTCTGTGTGCACTTGAAAAGAACATGTATCTTGATCAAATTGATGTTCATCGTCTATTTGTGGCACCTGAATGTGGGTGGAAGAAAATCCCCAAGTCTGCTAATGGTCTCACTTTATATTTGTGATTAGTAACTCTAGTTAATTCATTTTCCCACTCTCCTGAATGACTATTTTAGTTTCCCCCTCTGTCTCTCATATGACTATAGGTTTTACCATGATGAAAAAATATGAACCTCTGAGTATGTTTAAAATGTAATATTGAGGGATCATATTTGTCCTGGAGAACATTCTGTCAGAATTCTAACTGTATATAAGCATCTGAGGTTTATTTATCTTTGGTCAATTCTCGGATTTACAGATCACTGCTCTACTAAAAGAGATTCAGTCATTGTGACATTTTAATATGTAACTTTTTTTCCTCAAAATTTTCTATTGCTCATTAAGTAAGGGTGAAAGACTATTATCTCTTGGCAAGTATAGTTATAATCAGAAGTCATAATTAGCATTCATTTTTTAACACAAAGCATCATTTAACGTATATTTAAGTGTGTACTTCTTCTGCTACCCCTAAATTTCAGAAGGCTAAGGCTGGAATGCTTGATTTTCTACACCTGTGTAGAGGAGAATGTGAAGAGAGACATAGCTGGGTATATGTCATTACTGAGCCACTCCCCAGAATGTACTTTCTTTCTGGGAAAATTTGCTGGTATAGCATTTGGAACATGGTTTCTCGTTTTATGCATTTCAAGGGACAGAAATTACATACACAAAACTATTTTCAAAAGTAGTTAAATATTCTAAAATATAGATGGATATGCATATGAATTCTGAAATAAAAGTAACTTTCTCTTTTTTTCATAAGGTTGAGAATGATCTGAATTCATTCTTGGTATGTTGTTCACAACTTGCAGCTCAGTTAGAAGCAGCAGCTAAGGAAGAACGTAATGTACGTATTCTGTGTAAACTGCTAAGCATAAAATATTACTTAATATTTTAATTATAAGCTACTAATAATATTAATAATAAAACAAGATAAACTGATAATAATTACTATTCATTATTATTAACAATCATTTTAATAATAAAATATTTAAAGTTATATTGGTTGTTTGATCTTGAATATGATAATCCAGGCAGCAATATTAGTCTAGATATAGTGCCTTAAGTAGTTATAAAGAGCATTGGAGGGCTTCCCTGGTGGTGCAGTGGTTGAGAGTCCACCTGCCAATGCAGGGGACATGGGTTTGTGCCCTGGTCCGGGAAGATCCCACATGCCACGGAGTGCCTAGGCCTGTGAGCCATGGCCGCTGAGCCTGCGCGTCCGAAGCCTGTGCTCCGCAACGGGAGAGGCCACAACAGTGAGAGGCCCGCGTACCACAAAAAAAAAAAAAAAGCATTGGAAAGCATTATTTATCGTAGGCGTTTATGTCTGTGAATTGTCCTTTATGTACAGCATTGACTGGGTCATTAATATTTTCATATGTAGTATTTATATTTTACTGTGTTTTTTAAATAAGTACATTTATATTACAAAAGTAATGGCATAAATAATGAAAATTTAAAAATGAAGGCATACAAAAAGAAAATAAAAGTCATCATAATCCTGTTTCTCTGAGATAACTCTTGTCAACATATTTTTGTTTACCTTCTTATTTTTCCATAGTTACACATATTATTCTTTAGAAATTAAATAATACCGTATGTATTATTTGGTAATACATTTTCTTATTTTGTGAGTTTTGAAAAATAACATTCATTGTGTTTTAGCTGATTTTGAAAGTATTATTGTGGAACATTTAAAGAAGTATGAAAAGTACATAGGAAAATAAATTATGTGTAATGTTACTCTGCATAAGCATTAGTAACATTATAAAATATACTTTCTCGTGTTTTGCTATATATATATACACACACACATATATATATTTATATACACATTTTTTCTAATTTTTTAATTGGAAAATGAACATAAAGTATTACTATCTTAAGCATTTTTAAGTGTACAATTCAGTGGTGTTAAGTACATTTATATTGTGTAACCATCACTGCCTTCCACTACAGAGCTCTTTTCATCTTGCAAAACTGAAACTGTCTGCATTTAACAATAACTTCCTGTGACCCCCTCTGTTTGGCCCGTAGTAATCACATTCTACTCTCAGTTACTATGAGGGGTTGTTTTTGTTTGTTTTGATTTCATGCATAAATGGGGTCATGAAATATTTTTCTTTCTGTGTCTGGCTTGTTTCACTTACCATAGTGTCTTACAGATTCATCAATGTTGTCACAAATGGCAGGTTTTCCTTTTTTTTAATGCCTGAATAATATTGCATTTTGTATGTATATCACAATTTCTTTATCCATTCATCCATTGATGGACACTTAGACTTTTTCGATATCTTGGCTATTGTGAATAATGCTGCAAAGACCATGGGAGTGCAGATATCTTTTTGAGATACTGATTTTGTTTCCTTTGGATATATACCTGAAAGTGGGATTGCGGGATCATATGGTACTTATATTTTTAATTATTTTTTAGAAACCTACATACTGTTTTCCATAGTTGCTATATCAATTTACATACCCACCAACAGTGCATGAGGGTTCCCTCTCTCCACATCCTTATCAGTGCTTATTTTCTCTTAATACACATTTTCACAGGTATGAGGTGATATCTCATATGATTTTAATTTGCATTTCCCCGATGATGAGTGATGTTGAACACCTTTTCATGTACCCGTTGTTCATTTGTATGTCTTATTTGGAAAAATGTCTATTCATTTTTTATTTCTTTGCCCATTTTAAAATCAGGTTATTTGTTATTTTGCTATTGAGTTGCATGAGTTCCTTATATATTCTAGATATTAAGCCTTTTTACAGTTAATATATATGGCTTGCAAATATTTGCTCCCCTTCCATAGATTGCCTTTTCATTTTGTTGATGGTTTCCTTTGATGTGTGGTGACTTTTTAATTTGATGTAGACCCATTTGTTTATTTTTTTCATTCTTTTTCAAAGTTTTATTTTTTCTATGTATTTATTTTGGCTGCACTGGGTCTTAGTTGCGGCATGCAAGCTTCGTGGTTGTGGCATGCAGACATCTTAGTTGTAGCATGTGGACTTCTTAGTTGTGGCATGTGGACTCTTAGTTGTGGCATGCATTTGGGATCTAGTTCCCAAAACAGGGATTGAGCCCAGGCCCTCTGCACTGGAAGCGCAGAGTCTTACCCACTGGACCACCAGGGAAGTCTCCCATTAGTTTATTTTTGCTTTTGTTAAGCTTGGGCTTTAGGTGTCATGTCCAAGAAATCATTGCCAAATCCAATTTCCTGACGCTTCTCCCTTGTGTTTTCTTCCAGCAGTTTAATAGGTTTAGATCTTGTATATAGGTTATGGATCCATTTTGAGTTAATATTTATACATAGTGTAAGGGAAGGATGAACTTTATTCTTTGCATGTGGATATCTAATTTTTTCAGCATTATTTGTTGACGAGATGGTTCTTTCCCCATTGGTACTCTTGTATAAAATCATTTTGCCATATGTAATAGGGTTTATTTTTGGGTTTTCAATTCTGTTCCATTGGTTTATGTATCTTTCAAATTATTTTTTTATTTTTATTTTTAAAAATTTCGATATTGGGCTTCCCTGGTGGCTCAGTGGTTGAGGGTCCGCCTGCTGATGCAGGGGACGCGGGTTCGTGCCCTGGTCTGGGAAGATCCCACGTGCCGCGGAGCGGCTGGGCCCGTGAACCATGGCCCATGAGCCTGTGCGTCCGGAGCCTGTGCTCCACAGCGGGAGAGGCCACAACAGTGAGAGGCCCATGTACCACAAAAAAAAAAAAACAACAACAAAAAATTTAGATATCATTCACATATAACACTGTATTAGTTTTAGGTATATATATGTATCTATCTATATGACAGTGCAGCACTGTCTTAATTACTTTTGCTGTAGTGTATCTTGAAATCAGGAAGGTTGAGGCCTATGACTTTGTTTTGATTTTTTAAGATTGTTTTGGCAATTTGGGGGCCCTTGATATTCCATATGAATGTTAGTATTTTTTCTATTTCTGCAGAAAATGCCATTGGGATTTTGATAGGGATTGCACTGGCTATTATGTACATTTTAACAGTAGTAAGTCTTCCAATCCATGACCATGGGGTGTCTTTCCATCTATTTGTATCTTGTTTAATTTCTTTTAGCAATGTTTTATAGTTCCCTCTGTTAAAATCTTTCATCTCCGTGGTTTATTTTATTCCTAAATATTTTTATGTTTTTTGATGCTATGGTAAATTGGATTATTTTCTTAATTTTCTTTTTGGATTGGTCATTGTTAACATATACGAATGCAACTGACTTTTTTTTCCAACATCTTTATTGGAGTATAATTGCTTTACAATGTTTTAGTTTCTGCTGTATAACAAAATGAATCAGCTCTATGTATACATATATCCCCATATCCCCTCCCTCTTGTATCTCCCTCCCACCCTCTCTATCCCACCGCTCTAGGTGGTCACAAAGCACCGAGCTGATCTCCCTGTGCAATGCGGCTGCTTCCCACTAGCTATCTATTTTACATTTGGTAGTGTATGTATGTCAGTGCTACTCTCTCACTTCGTCCCAGCTTACCCTTCCCCGTCCCCGTGTTTTCAAGTCCATTCTATACCTCTGCATCTTTATTCCTATCCTGCCCCTAAGTTCATCAGAACCATTTTTGTTTTTTTAGACTCCATATATATGTGTTAGCATACAGTATTTGTTTTTCTCTCTCTGACTTATTTCACTTTGTATGAGAGACTCTAGGTTCATCCACCTCACTACAAATAACTCAATTTCATTTCTTTTTATGGCTAAGTAATATTCCATTGTATATATGTGCCACATCTTCTTTATCCATTCATCTGTTGATGGACACTTAGGTTGCTTCCATGTCCTGGCTCTATTGTAAATAGTGCTGCAATGAACATTGTGGTGCATGATTCTCTCTCTTTTTTTTTTTTTTTTGCGGTACGTGGGCCTCTCACTGTTGTGGCCTCTCCCGTTGCGGAGCACAGGCTCCGGATGCACAGGCTTAGCGGCCATGGCTCATGGGCCCAGCCGCTCCACGGCATGTGGGATCTTCCCAGACCGGGGCATGAACCCGTGTCCGCTGCATCGGCAGGTGGACTCTCAACCACCAGGGAAGCCCCATGACTGTTTTTGAATTATAGTTTCCTCAGGGTATAGGCCCAGTAGTGGGATTGCTGGGTCATATGGTCTATCTTTAGTTTTTTAAGGAACCTCCATACTGTTCTCTGTAGTGGCTGTATCAATTTACATTCCCACTAACAGTGCAGGAGGGTTCCCTTTTCTCCACAGCCTCTCCAGCATTTATTGTTTGTAGATTTTTTTGATGATGGCCATTATGACTGTTGTGAAGTGATACCTCATTGTAGTTTTGATTTGCGTTTCTCTAATGATTAGTGATGTTGAGCATCCTTTCATGTGTTTGTTGGCAATCTGTATATCTTCTTTGGAGAAATGTGTATTTAGATCTTCTATCCTTTTTGTATTGGGTTGCTTTTTTTAGATATTGAACTGCATGAGCTGTTTGTATATTTTGGAGATTAATTCTTTGTCAGTTCCTTCATTTGCAAGTATTTTCTTCCACACTGAGGGTTTTCTTTTCACCTTGTTGATGGTTTCCTTTGCTGTGCAAAAGCTTTGTAAGTTTCATTAGGTCCCATTTGTTTATTTTTGTTTTTATTTCCATTTCTCTAGGAGGTGGGTCAAAAAGGATCTTGCTGTGATGTATGTCAAAGACTGTTCTTCGTATGTTTTCCTCTAAGAGTTTTATAGTGTCTGGCCTTACATTTAGGTCTTTAGTCCATTTGGAGTTTATTTTAATGTATGGTGTTAGGGAGTGTTCTAATTTCATTCTTTTACATGTAGCTGTCCTGTTTTCCCA